TAAAGACTAGAGAATGAATTTGTTGATAATAAATAAATTTAATTCATTGAGTATATCATATCTTCACAAAACCTAGTAGCAAGGTAACAACTCTTGAAACAGACATCACATTGAATTTTCTATAAAATAAGACATTAGTATATGGCGTAGTGTTTATATGCAATACTTTCCTTCCTTTTCAAACCAGTAATAGTTCATGCATTCACTGCAGAAAACGGAAACCTTCTCTTTCTCATGTCTTCATAGAATAGGAAATATACGATGTGTGATACTAATATAACCACAATTAGATATTAATAATCTTTAATAATATATCAATTAGATTTAGCCTATCAATTTGCATCCAACTTGTTTGCATATAATTTTATTCATTCCAGTCATATAATTATTATCTATAGCTCTCTGAATATACATAAATTCTAAATGGAAAGTTACATTTACAGTTCATTTTTAGACCAAGTTACCTTTCTGCAATAAATCATGCTTATCTTTACTGTTAGACATAGTTTATTCTAATGAAAAATATTGCTCTGTTTTACTATACCATTCAATATCAATTTAGAGAAAGTCTCTTCATCGTTTTGTTGCAATAAAAGTTAAAAATCCAATAAATTAATATTGTAATATTATTTTATTTTTCGATATTATTAAAAAATAGATCCAATCAACTGGGACTGATCGGTTTAGCTATGGTGAGATAACGCATTATTGAAAATTAGTTTTAGTTTTTTCTTCAAGTTTCAGATAATTATGAGAAAGTTTAAAATATAATTTGATGATTCAATTGAACAAACGAATCACTTAAGTATAGACCTACGAAATTGTGTTTTACTACTTTGTAATGTCATGAAATTTGTATAATTTTATTTTACTATAGGCAAAATTTTAAAATATACGTCTCAGGCTTAAAGAAAATAATTTGATAAATTGTCATTATTGTGTTGCTTGTGTAAGGTTTGTGGTTTAAAATTGTTAAACAAAAATTATACAGAGTGTATCAAAAAACATGTGCCATCTCTCGTGTGGAGATTCCTCACAAATAAGCTTTATTTTTCATATCAAGATAGGTCCGATTCTACTTTGTTTCGTAGCTACAAGATGTTAAAGTCTTAATATTTTTCCGATATATGATAATTTTCTTCCAAGTACTTTTAACGTTTCGAATGAAATTTTGGGGTAAAAAGTTACTATAAATGCGACATATTTTAAAGCTAAAAAAGTGTCGACATATTCACCAGCGACGTGCATATGGGTTATCAATGGAATAATTTTCTAAAAAAAGCATGTACGCCACTGACTTGTTTTCGCTTGTTAGCGAAAGAATGTAAACAATTTAATGCCGAATTAAAAGTTGTATCTTGATATTTTGTCGATTTCAGCCTCCTTGATGAGATAAACGCAATCTTATTAATTTGCCGTGATCCAAGTCTAATAGCAACCTTTAAAAAAAAATAATATCATTAACTTGCGAAAGTTTTAGATAAGTACTCATCGATTCCTCATCAAAAATATGAAAAAAAGTTTCTATAAACATGAAATGCATAGTTTTAGAGTTACAGGATGTTAAAACTTTTTAAAATTAGGTTTTGTGTAATTATCTTAAATACCATTATTTTTTATTTTAAATTGATCTAGGTTGGACTAATAGTAGTAATAGCTAATGGTAATAATATTTAATAATAAATTAGGTAAAATATATAATTTATTAATTTTATTTTTATTTTAATTTTATTAATTTTGATAAATAAAATTGCGTTTACCTCATCAAGGAGGCAGAATTCGACAATATATCGAGAGATAACTTTTAATTGGCATTAAACGGCCTATATAATTTTGATATCAAAAGAAAAAAGTCAGTGGCGCATATGATTTTTTTTTGAAAAAATATTCCAGTGATATAACCCTGATATGCACGTCCCTGATGAATTTATCAACACTTTTTTAGCATTAAAATATGTAGCACTTACTTATAGTAAATTTTACCAACTTAAAATTTCATTCGAAACGCTAAAAGTACTCGGAAGAAAATTATAATAAATCGAAAAAATATTAAGATTTTGGATCTATGTTGATATGAAAAATAAATGTTATTTTTACGTGAGGAAACCCCCCCCCCCACGAGAAATTGCAATGTTTTTTGAGAAACACCCTGTATATAATAGTTCCAAAAACTACAACTGTGTGTTGTTTATAGAGAATATGTCTGTCATATGTATATCTGTCATATAGACAAAAAAACAATCGAGGGATCGAGGGGTGTCTCACTGTTGGAATTGTACATTTTCTTGGCGGTTACTGGCAGCCGCTTGGCAATAAAATTATATTTTGGCAGTACATTTTTTACCCAAGTGAAACGCCCCCTCGGATACAATAATTTTGCCACATTTTTTAACAAAACATGAACTGAAGTTCAGCGTTTCAATTTAAATATGTTTCAATTTTTAAATGTTGTAAACTCTGTCATGTAAAAAATGTTTATATAATGGTGAAATGTTTGTTGGAATTGCATAAAGATGTCTTATCTTATTTCCTGGTTAAACTGGTTATTGCATAGCAATTAGTTTAACAACAAATTGCTGTTCTTCATTTATAAAAATAATATTTTGGTTCCTGTTGGCCAAGTTAAACAAACGATATAGTCATCATAAAACTACCGATAAAGGTATTAAACATTTTATAAACTGACCCATTTTATCAAATATTTTCTTATTCAAATTAATGAACATATACAGAGTGTCCCTTTTTACGGAGTCTTTTTTATTTTATAATGAAATCAATATTAATAAATTCTTAAACAAGTTACAATAATTACTAATAATTTGCGCTGAAAGATATAACGCATTGTAAATCATAAGGTATGGGTATAGTACCTATAAAATTTTACATATAGAACATGTTTGAGACACCCAGTATTTTGCAAAGTTAATTGCAGAAGCTAATTATTTTTTTTAGGAATGTGCTGTAGAAAAAAGTGTGCTGTATTATTGAAATAAGTTTCAATGTTGACATATTGTTCGAAGGTATAAAAAGGTGTTCCTTCTTTAAGTGTAACATAGTTAATTTTGGCCTTGGTGAACTTGTTAACATGTGATAGTATAATAATATTTCTAAAGCATTTTATTTATTGCTGCCTTCAGGTGCCATTAAACGCAATATTCTGTATTCAGTAAAACAGAAGCAAATGCAGAAACCGGTAGTCCTCTCAAATTTTTTAATAAATAGTCATTTTTTTTTTTCATTTTCAAACTATATTTTAGATTTATTTGAAAAACTGCAAAGAGAAAATATATTTCTTTTATCGAAATCTAGCAACCCCGGAAATATTTTCACTTATTTCTCACTCTGTATAGTAAAAAATGATTAACCCAATTTTTTTGCGAAAGAAATTCAAAGCCGTGTTCCTGGGATCACAATATACCACCCTTAAAAATATGTTCACTTAATTAAGACTCACCCTGTACAGTAAAAAATTATAAACCAAAGAATTCAGTAATTCTCTAGTAGAATTTAAGCAAAACATTTTTTTTTATTTTTAATACAAAATAACTCAATAACGCAATTTAGGAGTAATTTGAAAAACGGTACAGAGAAAATGTTTCTTTTATAAAGATCTATCAACCCAGAAAATATGTGCACTTATTTAAGACTCACCCTGTATTTGAAAAAATACATGAGATGAATGTTACCACCCAACTTTCCCCTAATATACAGGGTCGCTGTTATGTATGGAAACGGTCGATTGTTAGGTAAAATATAGGAGGTACCCCAAAAAGTTAAATACAAAAGGTATAGGGTTTATAAATATCTTTTATTAGCGGGTAATACATTTAAGTATACAAGGTCGGTCATAAAGTCGTGGCACATAAAAGTTTCATTTTTTTAAATGGAATCCCCTGTATATTGTTACATATTTCGGTTCTTTCTTCAATTCTAAGCAAAAATCGAAATACACAATGTACCTCAAACCAACCGTTTCCGAGTTATTGACTTTTGAAAATATCACTTAAACAATTTGATTTAATTAATTTCGATATGTTCAGTTTAATTTAACGATGCCATTCTGCCAAAACTGTGATAATTAATAATATTTGACATTAGTTCTCAAGTTAACATTTATAGATGTATAAAATCCGAGTATATCAAGTCTGGAAATTACAAAATTTCCGTTTATCATTTCAATTCTTCAATTTATGTACATTGTGTATTACGATTATTGCTTAAAATTGAAGGAAGAATTGAAACATGCAATAATATACAGGAAAAAAATAAAGTTTGATGTGACACAACTTTATGACCGACCCCGTATACTTAAATTTACTAGTAGCTAATAGGAATTTAAAAACCCATTACAACAGTACCACAGTTTCGGCAGAATGGCATCATTAAATCAAACCAAATACATCGAAATTAATTAAATCGAATTGTTCAAGTGATATTTTCAAAAGTCAATAACTCGAAAACGGTTGCTTTGAGGTATATTGTGTGTATTTCGATTTTTGCTTAGAATTGAAGGAGCAATTGAAATATGTAATAATATATTGGGGGTCCTATTTAAAAAAAAATGTCAATCTTCAATACTTTATGAACGACCCTGTATACTTAAATTTATTTCTCGCTAATAGATATTTAAAAATCCTATAACTTTTGTATTTAACGTTTTGCGGTACCTCCTATATTTTACCTAATAATCTAACCTAACCATACATAAGAGCGACCCTGTATAAGCGCTACTCTAGTATTCTATGAATGTATTGTCCTGTTTTGCAAATCATAAGAGACAGTTAAAAGGTGCATAATAAAAAAATAGTTAATTAAAAGAACTGTAAAAATGAACAGAGTCACTGGTCTTGAACAATAAACATAAACCGAAATTTTATTACAGGATATGATGGCAAGCAATACGTCTGTCTATAATGTCTATATTGGCAACGAATCGTTTCCGGTACTTTCAAATTTATTAAAACGACATCTAAATATAACTATACAGCTAGAATACTTACCGGTGGTGGTTCAGAAGAGCAGTACTCAGAGGGCGGGTACTCCGGCTTAATGGTGACGGTGGCCATCGATTCGGGAGCCTGCTTCTCCTCCATGATTGTCGTCGTCGCAAATGAGACTAAATGCAAAATCCGTCTCTGTCGTCGATTTCTCTTTTCCTTTGCAAAAGGCGAAAGTTTCTCGCTATAGTGTTGTTATTATTGTTGTTGTTATTGTAATAGTTTGTTGTTGTATCGTTGACCGGCTGCTTAGACCGACTGACGTGACTGGGGACGGGGCAGGAGCCTTGTAAGCGTTGCCCCTACCGCGAGACGTGGACTCGGACCCGCGGCAGGCAGGAATTGCTAATTGGTAAATTGTTGTTGCTAAGAAACTAAGAAGAGGCGAGCGGTTGATATACACCGCCGTTCATTCTAGAAAACACGCAGTGCCGAGGCCGAACTATGATGTTTTGTAAACATCGAATGGGTTTGAAGTGGTTCCGCTCTCGGCGTACTAGTTTATCTTTACGACAAGTTAAAAATTTAGTTCCTGCTGATGAGTATATACAGTGAAAAATCTCTAAGTCGAATCTTCAAGGGGCCGGAATTCAAATTCTTCAAATTATCGGAAATTCGAATTGCAGAAAAATACGTTATTAAAAGCCAGAATGTAGAATGTATGGGAGGGGAGTTAATCACCGCGACCTTACAGATCTATTTTGTCGTCATTTCTTAAGTTATAACTCATCATACAATCTCAGGACTTTGACAAAAGCCAGTATCTGAGACGGTTTTACAGAGGATAGTTCTCCATCTCCGATATAACTAAAGTTCATGGAAGTGTTCTAGCGTTTACCTATTTTCCCCACAGAATCTGCATTTGTCGTTGTTTCTTATTAGCTTTACTGAGGTGTTCGTTGAGGAAACAGTGTCCTGTTAAGAAACCCCTAAGAATTCGAAGATTGTTCTTACTTAAACCAAGGAAAATCTTTGATTTTTCTCGGACGTAAGTTTTGAGACTTTTTTTCAAGTGTCTTAGACCGTTGGAGGATTCCCATTCCAGGTTACGGATAGAGTCTTCCAGGCTCTTGAGTTTCGCTTTAAGTTGGTTTCCAGTTGGGAAGCAGAACGGTACTGGCTCAGTTAGTGGAGTGAGAGAGTGAGAGCTCTTTTTCTAACTACATTGTTTGCTTTTTCGTGGCCTCCTTTTTGGTGGGCCTCCCTCTCTTGGTGGGCTGGCACGAAGAATAAATTGGATGTACTGTGTTGTTTTAATCTTCTATCCTAGACATAAGATGGAAACATTCTCCAATACAAATTGGGGAAAGGAGTTGCAGATGGGTCTTTTGAAGAAATTTTTAAAACGAAATATTTTAGGCCCGATTCACTGTCAGAGTCGTCATCATCACTTTCAGCTTCAAAACTGCTTGAAGAGAGTGACTTTCATATAGACTTAATAAGTTTATTTAAAAAACCTAAATCGCCCATCACTCCCACTCAGAAGGACATGAAATGGCTTGGCATTATGAAATTGACAAATACTTATCCGATTCAAGAGTTGGCGGTTCTGAGAATATTTTAGAGTGGTGACGAAGACACGAAAATGTTTTTCCAAGTTTAGCTACCATAGCCAGGGATTTTTTAGCCACACCAGCGTCGTCAGCTCCTGTTGAAAGACAGTTTTCTAGAGCCGCCCTTACTGTCACAAAAACCCGGAACCGATTAGGCGACAATGATGTTAGAAGCCTTATGTGCCGTAGATCTTGGATGGCGAACGACAATATTAAAGGCCTATTTTAAATGTATTATTATTTATTTTAAATTTAACTTTGCGGAAGAAGCCATACATAGAAAAATCAGTTTTATTAAGTCGTTAAGGATAATCTATATTTACGTTATTATTATTACTATTTACGTTAATAAATAGTTTCTTACTTTATTTGTTTTTCATTGTTGTTTTTTTAATCCGCAATTCTTGTTAACCTTAGAACTTCAGTTTTTTCAATAAAGTTTATTAATGCAGAATTTTGTGGTTGATTAAAAATATCAAATGAAACTTAATACAAAGTGAAGTAATCAAGTAGCTTGACAAAAATCAAGTAGTTGTAAGCAATCGCTTGACTTTTCAAGTACTTAAAATTGTAACTACTTGACTTGATTTCAAGTAAACACATAATAATCGAGTTGGCGAGTAATCAACTCGAGGGAGGAGGGTCATGGTCAGGTCCCATATGTCCCTCTTTCAGAGAAAGAGGGACATATCCTCTATTATAGATACGGGACAACACCGGTATCAGGTCTAAGGAGAGACCAAGTTAAAGAGGTGAAGAAAATGGAGGCAGATCCTCCAGCCTCCACCTCAAGTGTACCTCAGCCGGAGGCAAGCTCCTCGACTGTGAAGGGCACGGAGGGCCAAACTCCAACCGTGGAAGGGTTTGTACCCTCGGAGGAAGAACTGTTGTCAGAGGAGGATGGGAAATATCATGTTCCCTCTAGAACAGGGGTATGATGGGTTATAGACTGTGTGATGACTCAAGGAAGGGGGGCACAATAGATCTTTAAGGTCGCAGTGATTATAACCCCCTCTCTTACTCATTCTACATTCTAGAGAAACTTGTCTCCTCAACGAACACCTCAGTAGATCGAAGAGAAAATTGGGAAACACTAGAACACCTCATCATTGAGTGTACCGAGACGACAAGCGTTCGTGCCATAAAATTTGGTACGGCTGATGTCGGAGATAGCATGTCCATAGCTAGCCTCTATGGAACCGTCTCAGATACTGGCTTTTGTCAAAGCCCTGAGACTCTATGATGAGTTATAATTCTTTATAACCCAAGAAAGGGGAATACATAATAGATCTGTAAGATAACGGTGATTAACCCCGCCTAAACATTCTACATTCTAGAGAAACTTTGAATTACAGAAAAATACGCTAAATTAAAGGTTTAATAGAAAAAAAACGACTACAAACATATAACATAAAATAATATTTAAATATCGCTTTCCCATTTTAATTTTTCTAAAAATCGTCTAATCGTTTCTAAAATATCTCACTACTTTTACTGCAACAGATAAAAATCGCATGAGATGCGTGCAGAGACTAAAGATCCATACCGCATATGCATAATGCGCTGCTGCGGTTTGGTTTGGTTTGGTGGTCGATTTGATGGGTTGTGCGGCTGTTCGTGGTATTGGGCGAATTTCTAAAAGATCTACAAATCGCAGCGGCGAACCGCATCGAAGCAATGCATAAACGGATCGCATCATAATCCTTAATTAATCCGGGTGCGCCTCAAAAGTGGCTCACTCCTATAACTTTTTTAGTTTTTCAGATAAACAAAGCGGATTTGGTATATTAGTATGTGACATAAATTAGGATTGATTGACTTATTCAATTGTTTTTGGTTACTTCCTGTTTCACCGGAAATGACTACAACTTTAGATTTTTAAATAACACCCTCGGTGTATTTCTACTTTGTTCGATAGAAAATGACACTCTGAATAGAATGACATATCATATGTCAACTTTTGACATTTTCGCATATGGTTTATTTGAAGTTGTAACATGCGGTTCATCGCGCGGGTTGATAACGACAAATTCACTCGAAATACCAAGTGTGTGGTACCAAATTATTTGTACAAAAATGCTTTTTTCAAATATGGTAATGATCCACAATATTTATTATTTTTTTATTTCATGCTAGAACCTAACTAAGTACTGTTTTTCATATCTCCTATATTTTACATAATAATCGACCGTTTCCATAAATAAAAGCGACCCTGTAGATATCGATTTGAACCAAACCAAAAACTTAGAGGAAATTGGAACGAAAAATGCTAAATTTTGTGTAAGAGGGAGGCTAGAAAATCAAAACTCTATCTACGGAGATTTTACTCTCGATTTTATCACGAATAATCTTGTATAATTCTAAAAGTTTAGTAATATTATTTAACTATATATTTAACAGTTATTGTATATATTTAATAATACATGAGTATTAAATTTATACCCGTACGAATATTATACGATGAATATCAAGTGAAAGTTATTATTTTTTTATTTCATGCTAGAACCTATGGCAAGTAGGTCTGTGTCTATGCCCTTTGATCTTAAAATTCTTAAACCAGGCGTTTCTAATAATTTCCGTTATATAGTGATGTATACGTATATATAATATCAATTTATTATTAAGAAAGGTGTTCAGGTTTTCTATTGCTAATTTATTTTTAGTTTAAAAAATAACTGATTTATCAGCAATAAAATAGCAATAATAAACTTAAGTACTGTTTTCCATTGTGATAAAATTTCAACCCACCAGCCCTCCCAATTACCAGTGTCAATATGTTAATCCCCCACAAGTTATACTATCAAAAAAAGCTTCACTAAGAAAAAATACTGTAGCAGTTAATATTACAATAAAATTTTTAAAATATTATATTCTTGACAAAATAGCAGAAGAAAATTTATTCATATAAAAATTAAAATATTTAATATTTTAATTTTTATATGAATTAATTTTCTTCCGCCATTTTGTCAAGTATATAATATTTTAAAAATTTTGCTCTCTGAAAATAACTAAATTTCATTTCATACTAACTTCCTAACTTCAAATATCTTAATCCTATATAATTTCATGATAGGTACCTAGAAAATTTATACAGGGTTTTTCAAAAAACGTGCCATCTCTTGTGGGGAGATTGCTCACGTAAAAATAAGATTTATTTTTCATATCAACATATGTCCGATTCTGCTTTGTTTCGTAGAGACATAGCTTAATAGTTAGACATAGCTTTTCGTAGAGACATAGCTTTAAGTTAAAGTCTTAATAATCTTTCAATTTATTATCATTTTCTTCCAAGTACTTTTAGTGATTCGAATGAAATTTTGAGGATAAAAGTTACTATAAATGCTACATATTGTTTCAATGCTAAAAAGTGGATAGACATCAGGGACGTGCACATGGGTTATCACTGGAATATTTTTCAAAAAAAAAACATGTGCGCCACTGACTTTTTTTCTTTTGATATCAAAATTGTGTATCAAAATGCCAATTAAAACTTATCTCTTGATATTTTGTCGAATTCGACCTCCTTGATGAGATAAACGCAAATTTATTAATCACAATTAATAAAAAAATTTAGAATATTAAAATAAAATTAAAAAATTATATATTTTACCTAATATATTATTACTTATTAGCACAACCTTCAGCAACTTCAAATAAAAAATAATGGTATTTAAGATAATTACATAAAAACTAATTTTAAAAGTTTTAAGATTTCATTTTTAATTATGCATTTCCATATCCATATTTATTGGAACTTTTTTTCATATTTTTGATGAGAAATCTATGAGTATTTATTTAAAACTTTCGCAAGTGAATGATATTAAAAATTTTACAGGTTGCTATTTGATTTGGATCAAGACAATAATTAAATTGCGTTTATCTCTTCAAATTGGGCCATAATCGATAAATTATCAAGAGACAATTTTTAATCTTTTAAACTGCTTACAGTATTTCGCTAACAAGGGTAAAAGTCAGTGGCGTACACGCTTTTTAGAAAAATATTCGTGTGATGATTATTCGAAAAGCTAAAAGTACTTGAAAGAAAATTATCATAAATCGAAAAAATATTAATACTTTAACACTCTGTAGCTACAAAACAAAGCAGAACCAGACCTATGTGATATAAAAAATAAATCTAATTTTTACATAAGGAATCTCCCTATTAGAGATGGCACATGTTTTTTGAAACACCCTGTATAAATTACTTTTGAAATAAGAATATATTAATTATTGTTATATTCATTTAATTAAAATTTGAATTTTACAAAGCTCACAGTTACATATTTTATTTATAAAAATGCTATTAAAAAAAGAAAGAAAATTAATAATTTGGTATTAAGATATTACTAGGTAACTTATTCATCAGCTTCTAAATTAATATGGCTGCCAAATTTACCATAAAGATGAGCTTTAAGCTCTGACATTTGATCCTTTATTCCAACAGATTTTGTATTTAATGCTGTAATTTCAGCTGATATCTTTTCCTTGGCTTCTTCTAAACATTTCTAAAAATATTGATTGTAATAAGCATATTTAAAAAAAACCACAAAAATAATTATTGATCAATATTACCTGTGTTGTTTCTAAATCTTGATATATAAAAACCTCTCCAACTAAATATGGAATTTGTTCATCATCGTCGAAAAGAGCAATTTCATCACATGCATCCTCAAGACTTTTCAAATCGTTCTAAAACAAAAACAATGCTTCATATAAGTAATTAAATCACCAACTGTTCTATTTAAATAATTGCGAAGAGGACTGACTATTTTTGCTGTGACTTTTTGCCAAGTCTATGATAAAATTCTGTAAACTATTCTATTACCTCTCTAATTTTAACGTCATCCTTTATGTCCTCCAATTTTGCATTTAATCTTGCAAATATATTAATCTTCTGCTGATCTTCATACGAAATGTGCACATCTGAATCCTTAAAACCATTTTGTTAATATCTTATTACAAATAACTGCTTATTTTTCATACCGGTTGGAAGGTGCCTTTAGAATTACTTGATGCCATATTGTTGTAAATCTATTTACGTAAAATAAGATCAATAATAATACTTTTTCGAATCAAATTACCAAAATTGGTTACTATGAAATTTTTGAAGGAACTCTTAAAATTAAAGGTTAGTTTTTGACTGTAGTTTTTGACAGCGACAGCACCCTAAAATATTCAGGCAACTTATAATACAGTTATGGTGTATGACGAGTTGCCTGAAGTTAAACATTAATTTTCAAATATATTTTATTCCATAAATATACAGGATGGTCTGATTATAATATTATAACTTGTAAATACTATTTTAACAGTGATAAAATTATTATAGACTTTTTTTAATAAAAAGCCAAGAATTCAAAAGGAAAATCGACATATTCCTAAAAAAGTCATTGTAAAATATTTTCTATAATTTTAAAACTATATTATTATACCAAGATTGCGAAGTATAATTTTTGTCATATCATCAATGTTATTAATGAAGGTACACTCTGTATAAAACTTATGCTATGTCAGTGATTGATCTGACACGTTTTAATAATTAAATTATATAACATCTATATTTATAAAAAAATGAATATTTTTTTCTATGAATTCTAGATCAATATTAATTTAATGCTTGACAAGTTAATACATCCTGATAAAATATCTAAATACTCTATATAAAAGGTTTAAATAGGTATTGTTTTTCAGTTAGTTTTTTTTCCCGTTATACAAAATATAGCAAAATGTTTGGATTTAACCCAATACCAATAAGTACGGTTGACATTAATGGAATATACATCAAAGAGTCGTCTGAGAATTTTTTCGAATATTTAAAATCATTTGGTAATGTAGAAAATTTACTTTTAATGTTTTTATACAAAACTAACTGGAATGATATTAAACAAATCTAAAAAATTATATAAAATTTTTTTTAAAATTATATTTATAGGTGTTGAAGATGATATTGCGTTAAGAGTTCTCAATAGCAAACATCCATTGGTTGTCAGTAATGCTGATGATATAAAAGTGACAATTCTTGTCAAGGATAACCCTCGTACATTTATATTTGGAGAAGAACTTCCTTACACACTCTCTACAGGCCAGGATGTTGTGGTAAGTTAAATGACCTTAATGGCAACACTAAAAAAAATCCGTTTAATCGCTACAGTGTGGTGGTTACATAATTTAATCGAAAATGAAATTGAATGAAATGTATCTTTGCATCTCTATATTTTTATGAGTTTACCCCCCCCCCCTCAAGCCATTATGAGGCAGATAAAAATATACAGGGTGGTCCGAACTGTATTCCGGAAACTTTGGCAGCATATTCTGCAGATAGAAATAAGTAAAAAAGTTCGTATAAATGTATGTCCTAAAATGCTTAGTTTCACAGATACAGGGTGTAGAAATTTCATTTTTATTTCGATTTTTTCCAAATAATTTCTGTAGTAACGTCAATATTTGGATGACGATTGGTGTCTGGAAGTTTTTTGACATGAGAAATTTGATTTTGATGTCAGTATGACTCCTACTAATAGAGGGCGCCACCTACCAAACCAAACCAAACCAAACTGTTTTGAAGCGTAATAACTTTTTGTCCGTACCTGTATAAAACTATCCTGGAAAAAAATATACATCTCTGTGATTTTTTACGCAAAAAATATCTCTTTGTAAAAATCGCTACGAGCAACCGTTCTCAAGATATTTAGAATGGAAATAGTCAATACATGTTATTATTGACGAAAAATAAACACGTTGAGTAGATATAGTTATTTCGCTGAAATAATAAATTTGGGAAATTTTTATTTTTTTTAATTAATGATAAATTTTTCGGCAAAAAATGATGATAAAACAGTTTCTATTGAACTTTTGGCACAAAAACATTTCAAATTTATGATTTCAGTCTAATAACTATTTAGTCAACATGTTTAATTTATGTCAATGATGACAGGTATTGATAATTTCGATTCCAAATATCTTGAAAACTTTTACGATTTTACTTTTAGCGATACTTTTAGCGATTTTTACCAAGAGACCTTTTTTACGTAAAAAACGTCGTAAATGTATATTTATTTACTCAGTAGTTTTATACAGGTACGGACGAAAAGATATTATTCTTCAAACCAGTTAAAAAATATGTAGGTGGCGCCCTCTACTAGTAGAAGTCATATTGACATGAAAATCAAATTTTTCATTTCATGTCTTATCTTATGTCACAGTGGTTGTGGTAATTTCTAAATTTGTCGTTTAGGCTACACAAATTTTTTTGACATACAGTTTTTTCGTCCAAAAATTTTAAATATTGTTTTTCTCAAAAACGGTTAATATTAGGTGCAGGGTGTATCAAAATTCATAATTTTTTACAGATAATTTAAATATGCAATAAAAAATTGAAGTATCAGTTTAAAATAATAAAGCTGCTGTCAAGTTTAGCTATTTCTGGAAGTGCCGCCATATTAAAAATATTTTTAAACGATAGATCTCGTTTAGAAACAATGATATGCAAATAATCTCCGTTCTAGATATTGCAATTCTCTAGAAATTTCTAATGCACGCTAAGCCTGGGACACCCTGTATAATATTATATATAATTAGAAAGTTATAGATTTTTATACTCAAAAATAATTTGAATATTAATTAATCTTAACGTAAATCATCTGAAACATTTTTTTCGGAATTCTCAAAACAAACGAGATAATGGATCATAATGAACTGTTAACCCGTCTTGTACATTGCATCCATTTTAAAATTTAGTCTTACCAATGGAGTCTAAACAAAAATTATAAAATATTCTTATTTAGTAGGTACTATATAGGTATTTTGTATAACACCTTAAAAATACACAATGAATTAATGTAAATGTAGATATAGGTATACCTCACGTTTAAAATCATCCCTCATAGACTAAAATAATCATTTAATCTTAGTGTATGTAATATGATTACAGTTGAGGGTTGGAACCTTTGGTGTTACACAGCAAAATAAAAACACTAAATCGCCACAATACACCAAAACACTTTTACTTTTACACTGGACGCGCGTTTCGCTAACCATGTTAGCATCATCAGCAGATGATTATAAACTAAAGTACAATCTACAAGTTGAGCGTTTTACAGGGTGTCCCAGAAATGAGTGCAGATATTTTAACTGGTAGTATAGTTCAACCCCAGAAACACGCCTATGAGGTTTTTTTTTTGCGAAAAAAAATGTTGAAAATTTTATATTTTTCTTGACATTTTCCGGAAAATGTTGAAAAACTTTTGAGTGCCACTGTTCACTCCCCGGGAAATTCGTTTACCGGGCATAGAGAGTGTCGGAGAGAATGCAACGTTGCCACCTCCTAACATACCCACATTCTGCATGTTTATCTATAAATTCAATTATTTTAAGTTGCTACAGAAAAAATACGAAAATTAATTTTATTCATATTAGTGTAGATTGCTCTACTAATTGTAGAGAAACGCGCAATATTTTAAATACTTTTTACAGTGGAGTAAACTGAAAAAATAAATCTTAACAATTAGCTTCATTTTTCGCCATATTAGGAAATATTTTCAATCGTTTCAATAAACAATTATAACCTTTAATGTTTAGTTAGAGCTTACCCTTTTAATGAAAGTGTTTTTTATCCAGCACATACAGGGTGTCCCAGAAATAAGTGCAAATATTTTAACTGGTAGTATAGTTCAACCCCAGAAACACGCCTATAAGGTTTTTTTGCGAAAAAAAAAATGTTGAAAATTTAAAATTTTTCTTGACATTTTCCGGGAAATTTGAAAAAAACTTTTTTAGTGCCTTGCGGTGTTGTAACCTCCTATGTTATCCACATTCTACATAGTTCTACATTTATAAATTCATAGAAAAATTTCTACTCAAAAATTAAGAATGTTAAATTTTTATCAGTGCTCATTATTAATAATTATTATAGAAAAAAAACACATTAATTATTTTTAGTACTTACCCTTTCAATGAAAACTTAACAAAAACCACCGAAAATTAACTAAAACATTACGTTTATGACGTTTACGAAAATGATTCATTATATTATTCACAACCAGGTCACAAAAAAGAAATTCCTAAAATGTTTATCGTAATTTAGAATTCAATATTTGTTTTCTTTCATGTTTCTCTGTTTTATTTGAACCACTGATTTACAAAACACCTTGAAAAGCGCACATTACTTTGAATACCTCTCTTATCGCTACTTTACGAACTACTTTCAATTTAAGACATGTTTCACTCAACAATTTTAAATACGTATTTTGTTTTTTCGCTATTTTTTCGATGTATTTTGACAGCCCGACCGTCGCGCGTTGGCCAAGAGTGCCACGTGTGAACTGGTCCTTTGAGCCGCGCCGTCGTGGCAGGCTTGCGTCAGACGACGATGTTAAGCAACGTTGCCGTAGTTACAACAATTTCAAATTCAAGAGATTCGAAGCAATCAAATTTGTATTAAATTTTAAAAATAAAACAGAGAACATGAAGGAAACAAACAAAACAAAAATGAATTGATTATTCGTCGGGCTGTTTTCGATATATTGAATTCTGAATTACGATAAACAATTTAGAAATTTCTTTTTTGTGACATTATCAATAATCAATTCATTTGTGTTTTGTTTGTTTCCTTTCATGTTTTTCTGTTTTATTTTTAAAATTTAATAAGAATTTGATTGCTTCGAGTGTCTTGAATTTGAAATTGTTGAAACTACGGCAACCTCGCATGACGCAAGCTCGACACGCCGGCGCGACAAAGAAGCACTGGGCAGTGGGCAGTTACCAACCAGTGATGCGTGGCTGTCTTGGCCGACGGATGTTTGGGCTGTTGACGGAATTGTCGAAATACATCGAAAAAATAGCGAAAAAGCAAAATACGTATTTAAAATTGTTGAGTGAAACATGTATTTTCTTAGATTGAAAGTAGTTCGTAAAGTGGCGGTAAGAGACAATAATTCTCAACATTTATTCATTCAGAAAGATATTCAAAGTAATGTGTAATGTGTGCTTTTCAAGGTGTTTTGTAAATCAGTGGTTCAAATTGTGATGAAGCCTATACGAAAATAATGTGTTAAATTAAAAATGGGGACTGTTATTTTAGCAGTTTTTATAATAGCACGTACAAGTAAAAGCAGCACAATGAAGTGTATTTTAGTTAAGTGTGTATCGAAAAGAGAACTGTCGCAGTTACATCGATCTGTCATAAGTATCTTTTTTAATGTTGGGTAAGTTTTTTTAATTTAACTTTTAAACATTTAACTTTTAATTTATTTTATGTAATAATATCACAATCTTAAAAATGTAATGCATCTCTGCAAACTCCTCAGGTGTTGTGATTTTATGACTTACTTGTAAACATATACTTTCTTGTCCATATGGCAACACAGTGCGTCGAATTAACTGAAATCCGGGCTTGATCCGGGTAATTGGATGTAGTTGGCAATATCTGCCGGCGGTTCTCAAAATGTTGCGATTATTTTTTTAAATTTTCAAAGTTAAATAACTCAGTTATTTTCAATTTATTTTAAAAATGGTAAAGAGAAAATATGTTTATTTTGACCAGATCTACCACCTCTTAAAATATCTGCACTCATTTCTGGGACACCCTGTATACTCGCCCAGTGGGCACCGAGTGGGCGTGGCAAAATCTAGCCAACTGAGCGTAACAGTTAGATTTCCGCCACTAGAGTAGTAGGAACAAAGAACTTGAAGGAATTGGGCCGTTGTCTCTGTTCATACTATCTTTACATTTATTAATTCTGATGCTTTCATATGCATCTAATTAATAAAAGCATCAGAATTAATAAATGTAAAGATAGTATGAACAGAGACAACGGTCCAATTCCTTCAAGTTCTTTGTTCCTACTACTCTAGTGGCGGAAATCTAACTGTTACGCTCAGTTGGCTCTGACTCGGTTGGCTAGATTTTGCCACGCCCACTCGGTGCCCGCTGGGCGAGTATATAAATGCTCAACTTGTAGATTGTACTTTAGTTTATAATCATCTGCTGATGATGCTAACATGGTTAGCGAAACGCGCGTCCAGTGTAAAAGTACAAGTGTTTTGGTGTATTGTGGTGATTTAGTGTTTTTATTTTGGTATGTAATATGTTTTAATTTTTTTTACTAATTTCTGTTTTATTTTATTTTAGACAGTGGCATCTCGTGATGGTGGTACGTTGACTTTTAATACCTATCTCGCAGAAAATCCTGAAACGACAGAAGTAAGAGTTTTAGAGTTGATCGATGACGAGCTTGTGTCAGTAAGTATATAGTTTATAATTATTTTTCATTGTATTAATTAAATATTATTAGGAACTTTCAAAATGATTTTATCTTATTTCAGACATCAACTAACCACTTAGGAGTTAAAGCGGTCAATAGATACAAGAAAGTTTCCTAAATTTGATTGTATTTCCGTCTGTGTAATTTAAAAAAATGCAATTTTTTAACTGGAATTGGTATTCAATTTATATAAAGTAGCGTCACTAACGATAAGACTTAATATTAAATAAGGTTTATTTAGATTAAAATTTATAATGGACTCTACCTCATGTGTATATTAACAATGCAATAAATGTTTATCAAATTATTTTTATTTTATACGCGTGTCTCTCTTATGTTGTAAATTATTTTCATTTTTACTCAATAAAGATAAATGGTAGCTTAAAAATTAATCTAATTTTGTTTTATTTTTGTAGCAATTATTATACCATGTGATCGTATGTGAACGGTATAGTAGATGTAGAAATAAAATTATAGTCCTACTCGGAACTCTTACTACGTCTATTGTTGATTATTTTCCTCTAATATACTGTACGATAAAAAACGGCTTCAAGTTAAACTAAAATCACAAAGGGATGGCAAATGCTGAGCAGGGATTACAACAGGTTTCTTGACAGGACACATGGCTGTCAAGTGACCTGACACATGTCAAGTCATCTCAACCTGTATCAAGGAAGTCTTTGCCAGCAGACTTTGCGATTAAGATACTGAAATAGCCGAGCACATAATAGACAGTTAAAGCACGGCTAAAGATGTAAACGTATCGTTTGACATGTACGCTTGCGCAGTGAGAAATTCACTTGCGTTTACGGATACGTGATACGTATCTTTACGTGCGTTTACGTACGTACAAAACGCAAACGTATCGAGCCGAAGGAGTTTCGATTTTCATCCGAATGATGCCGAACGTACAAATTCACAAACAACTCGTTTCCACAAGTGGCTAGTAATTAAGTTATTTCATAAATTTTGGGGCCAGTTAACAGAACTGGGCCTATTTTATTAGAATAAATTAGTATGAAAATATTAAGCATCATAATAAACTCATTTTAGAATCCATTTCATTAAATGCTAGTTCTTAGCCAAAATCCATAATGAGGAACTAAAAGATGGAATCTAATAAATAATCAAAATACTGTGTCTGTTTTACAATATTTTTATTACTAAGAGCATTTTAAGTTGTACGGACTACTTTCTGTAATAAAATAATTTCCATTTATAATTTTCTTCATTTTTCGAACTTTTATAAATTTAATGTGGAATCAATGGAATAATAGATATCCATTTTCAGTTTTAAAATTAAATAAATTGTTTTACAAAATAATTTAGAATTACAAATGTACCATTTGCGTTATGTACGTCAAAATCATTTGCGTTACGTACGTCAAAATACTTGCTTTAACTCTTGTTTACACGACAACGCAACGGCAGACGTAACGTAGGTTTCTGCGATACGTGTCGAGAGATATGTATACGTATTGTGCCTTGCTTTAACTGTCTATTATGTCACTGCGATGAGGCAAGCGACACTTTCTATTTGGGAAAGCAGGGCTAGAACCGGAGGAACTATGCTTACAGCCTATCAAGGACCTGCACAAGCTAGCACAGGGCACTGGGTGCAGACGTCAGACATAAAAAGATGACAAACACAATAGACCGTACAGGTTGCAGTATTTCTAACATAGGATGGGTCTTCTTACTCATTTTGAGAAAAAAAAGTTGGTTTGGTAATAATGATCAATGACAGTGATCTTCTTTTCCAAAGCAACTCTTTTTTCAATCGTATAGTATCACGACATGGTATGATGGTACTCTTTTTAAGTCCTCTTTAAGTCGATGATGCCAGTAGTCCAATATATAGGCACCAATAGACACTACAATATAAAAATTGCAATATTTTTGATAATACCTATTTTTATTTTTATGCTGAAGTTTTAATATTTAAAAATTGCCCTATCAAAGCTGAAAGCTGATAGAAAAATTAAGTCTTTTTTTGTCTTAAATCATTTTAAGTCATTAGATTTTAAGTAATTTCTCAAAAGTTGATTTGAGACAGAAGATTTAAGTAATTTTTAAAATGATTCCTGATATGTGGAATAACATTTAAATCTTATTCCACAACAGAAAAAGAACTTAAATTTTTTTAAATATTTAAGTTATTAAAAAAGACTTAAATCATTTAAAATATTCAAGTCTTTTTCTAAAAGGTTTAATTACATTTTTTCATATATTTTTATGATCAATTTTTAACAGCAGCGTTTCCTTTTGAACTGTCAGGCAGGCATCCAAGCAGCATATCAAAAACACCATCACTGCCGCTCTAGGACTGGAGCTCCTTCGCTTAAATTATGCCCTGGACATATTGCATAGTGATCCCCACATACATAGTGGTGACTGGTGACATATCATCACTTTTAATGCGGGAATACATCTGTATTAAGCTGTTAAGGGATAAGTAAAAAGCGCTTCAAAATCGGTTAAATCTATGGTTAAATCTCATAAAAGTTTTTATGTTCTTCGGCTCATATTTTTAAGTTTTTTTTTGTTTGCAATTATTCTGTAAATACACCGTCTTATTTTAAGTAGTTTTAATCTTATCTGTACCTACAATAAATTAATAATATAGATAAAATAAGAAAATCGGCAATCGGTAATACAAGAAAATTTATATTAATATTAAAAAATGGGTGCTTAAATTGAATTTTGGTTATCTTAACTTGATATTTTGTCGACTTAATGCGGGATGACACGATCAAAGTTACTTGAACCAAGTAGACTTTGATGCGGCCATATAACTGTACGTATAATAATGCTTGGCGCGTCTCACTTCTTGTCCGCTGGGCGCTGCTTGTATAGTATTAACTGTTTTATCAAATCAAAGTTGCATCAAAGTAAGTAGGCATCCAACGCATCCAACTTACATGGATGATACGAAGCCGTCAACTCGGCTTTTTGTGTCGGCTTTGATGATAAAACCCTTATAAACAAGTTGGTACAATACAAACAGCGTAAAAGTGAGACGCGCGAAACATCAATATAGGTATATCAGCAGAACCGGCCACTCGCTGTTGTGGCTAAGGTCAGTGATGGGCAAGTACCCGATGTATTAAAATTTGGGTAAATACCCAAGTTTTTGCACCCGGTGTATACCCAAAAGGTCAATAATTGTTATATTGAACTTGGGTAAATACCATTATACCCGGTAAACAGGGTGGCGCACCTCATCCGCCTCGGTTGATTATACGAAAACGGAAAGATGTAGAAAGAAAATATTCTATGGGTATATGTGGGGACAATGTGCACAATTGAAAATTATTTTGAAATATACAGGGTATTTCCGAACTAATATCCATACCAAAGTTATATTTTTTCTTATGGAACACCCGGTATTTTATTTCATTTTTGGATTCCTGGGCCCAAAAAAAGACATTTATTATAAGGGTAAAATATGTTTATCTTTGGTTTCTGATATATTTAAAGATATTTATATTTGCATGCTACAATAGAATTGATTATTAACACCCTGTATATTACTATTCAGAATTAATTCTTATGCTGAGTTTAAAGGTAAGGAAATAAACTTTAATGAAAAATGGTATTGCTTCCTTAAATTTATACAGGGCTATCAAAAGTTGCTGATCTGTTTTAAGGATATATTTTATATTAAAATTTCGTTATTTCAGACGCAACACCCTGTATTTTTTTAAATAAACGAAGCAGATTCAAATGCTCTTTCAAACTATATTAGGGTTTCCTATACCTATCTAGCTCAGATTTTGCATAAAAAGCGATTTTTAAATAAAATTGCAGTCAAGATGGCTGGTATCGCTATGGCAATTTTATAGTGACAGTTAGTAACTATTTCCAAAGTCGACATTAGTTTATGGACATTATTATTTAAAATTTATAACAGTTTACTTAAATTTACCTACAATAGTTTAATAAATAAGTATTCATTATTTTATCAAGAACGTCCACCAGCAGATACTGCTGGTGAACATATCTATTCACCAGCAGATACTGCTGGTGAATAGATATGTTACTAATGATTTTATTTTGTCGGAAAAATTGCTTCTTGACCTCAAGGGCTTATGCTTAAGGAAATCTAAATAGGAATTCTCCTGATAAGCGTTCCTTTGAAAAACTATTTGTCCTATTTCGCGAAGATTGTAGTTAGTGTGGTTTCTAAAAAACCTATTAGGCAGAAATCTGTCGTTGGAAGTGAAGAAAATGAATTTGCCATAATTGCCTCTTTTATAGAAAATCCATATATCTACAAGTCATCGTAAAATAAATCAAGAACGCTACTTCTTCGTTTATCTTGATAGAATAATAAATACATATTTAATAAATATTATTTATTAAACTATTGTAAGTAAATTAAATAAAAGTAAACTGGTATAAATTTAAATAAGTCCATGAATTAATTTCGATTTTGAAAATAGCTACTAACTACTACTGTCACTAGAAACTTGCCATGACGACACTAGGTTGGCCCTCTTGGTTGCCATTTTATTGAAAAATTGGCAAACTAGAAGATCAATATTAACTAGATTTAAAGAACATTTAGCTCAGATAAGATATGGTAGACCGGATAAATCTTGCGTTGCCGAACATATTGTTGATAAAGAACATTGTATAGATCTTAATAATTTAAAATTAATTAAACAAGTCTCAAATTACAGGCAATTAGATGCATATGAAAGCATCAGAATTAATAAATGTAAAGATAGTATGAACAGAGACAACGGTCCAATTCCTTCAAGTTCTTTGTTCCTACTACTCTAGTGGCGGAAATCTAACTGCTACGCTCAATTGGCTCTGACTCGGTTGGCTAGTTTTTGCCACGCCCACTCGGTGCCCACTGGGCGAGTATATAAACGCTCAACTTGTAGATTGTACTTTAGTTTATAATCATCTGCTGATGATGCTAACATGGTTAGCGAAACGCGCGTCCAGTGTAAAAGTAAAAGTGTTTTGGTGTATTGTGGTGATTTAGTGTTTTTATTTTGCTTTGGTTGAAATAACGAAGTTTTTATGTAAAATATATTCTTAAAATAGATCAGCAATTTTTGATACCCCTGTATAAATTTAAGGAAGCAATCACATTTTTCTGTAAAGTTTATTTTTCTACCTTTCAGCTCAGCATAAGAATTAATTCTAAAAAGTAATGTACAGGGTGTTAATAATCTATTTTCTTGTAGCATACAAATTTAAATATCTCAAAAGCCAAAGATTTTAAAGATATTTAACCCTTATAATAAATGCCTTTTTTTGGACCTAAGAATCCAAAAATGAAATAAAATACAGGGTGTTCCATAAGAAAAAATATAACTTTGGTATGGATCTTAGTTCTGAAACACCCTGTATATTTCAAAATAATTTTAAATTGTGCACATTGCCTCCCCACATATACCCATAAAATATTTTGTTTCTACATCTTTCCGTTTTCGTATAATCAACCGAGGCGAATGAGGTGCGCCACCCTGTATACCCAAGCATACTAACGTTTTTAATTTAAGGTATTCTAACAATTTTTAAAAACAATTTGTTGTTAAATTAAAATTATTGCATTACTAATATCGCTATTAAAAAAACCGGGGTTGATGGTAGAAGGGTTAAAATTTAGGGTTGTAAGTATTTTTTGCCATGATCATGAAGAAATAAAAAATAAAAAAAATTGTCCTAAAAATAAAAAAATAAAAATTTGGGGTGGACCACTCTTATGACTTAAGGGTATAAAAAAGAGATAACAACCTATTCTCAGACCTACTGAATATACATATAAAATTTCGTCAAAATCGGTTAAGCAGTTTCGGGGAGGAGTATGGTAAATAAAACTATTTAGAAAAACACCTCCCATTAAAAAATAGGGGTTAATGGTTAGGTGAAATTTTAGGTTGTATGTATTTTTTAATGCTGCATCATAAAAAAAATAAAAATAAAAATTTTGCCCAAAAAATAAAAAAAAATTGGGTTACCACCCTTATCACTTAGGAGTATAAAAATAGATAACAACCTATTCTCAGACCTACTGAATATACATATAAAATTTCGTCAAAATCGGTTAAGCCGTTTCGGAGGAGTATGGTAAATAAAACTATTTAGAAAAACACCTCCCATTAAAAAATAGGGGTTAATGGTTAGGTGAAATTTTAGGTTGTATGTATTTTTTAATGCCGCATCATAAAAAAAAATAAAAATAAATATTTTGCCCAAAAAATTAAAAAAAAAATGGGGTGACCACCCTTATCACTTAGGAGTATAAAAATAGATAACAACATATTCTCAGACCTACTGAATATACATATAAAATTTCATCAAAATTGGTAAAGCCGTTTCAGAAGAGTATGTTAACTAAAACCCTTCTAAAACTATTAAAAAAAAAACCGGGTTGATGGTAGAAGAGTGAAAATTTATACAGTATAGGGGGTATATGTATATATTCTTTAAACTGTGGTATAGGCGACTTTCCTCTATGTACCTAAATTCAATTTTTAAAAAAAAGTAATAATTTATTTTAGCAAAATAATTTTATCGATAATATAAGCTATATAAATTTATGTAATAACTAGCGTGTACCAGCGACTTCGTTCGCGTCGAATTAATCATTTGTAATGGTGATGATAAATCAAAGCAAGAATTTCCATTGACATACAAACTGGATAAAATTTTCTCACATTTATGTCAGCATGAGAAAAAACAATATGGCGATATTATTATATAACTTGGTAATATCTGAGTGGTAGTTTCATCTTGTTGGAATTTGACTTTCGAAAAATCCGTTTGCCAAAAATAAGATTTTTACGTCAAGCAGTTTAAGCAGAATCGTGGTTAATCAATTACCTAACTTTTTGAAACACCCTGTATGATATTTTAAAAAAATTCAAAATTTGTAAAAAAAACAAATAAATTATGCTTGTCCAAGCGTTTTCCCGAAAGACTAACCGGTTTTTAAATAACAAATATTGTAATATTTGAGGGGCGCTTTCACCCTCTTGGAATTTGAGATTCGAGAAACCCCTCCTTATCGAACCTCTACACCCCACAGTCAATCCGTTTGCCAAAAATCAGCTTTAAACGTCAAGCAGTTTAAGCAGAATCGTGATTACTCATTGGTCATATTTTATGAAACACCCTGTATAAATTTATAAAAAAATTAAAATATGTAAAACAACAAAATAAAATATACGTGTTTAAGAGTTTTTCCGAAAAACTCACCGGTTTTTAAATAAAAAATATTTTAATATTTGAGGGATAGTTCCACGCGATTAGAATTCGAGTTTCGAAAAATCCCTTCTTATCGAACCTCTACACCCTAAAGTCAATCTGTTTTCCAAAAATCAGCTTTTTACGTCAAGCGCTTTAAGCAGGATCGTGATTAATCAATGACCAGATTTTTCGAAACACCTTGTAGACATTTTTAAAAAATCTTAAAATATGTAAAAAAACAAAATAAAATATACGTGTTTAAGCGTTTTTTCGGAAACTTGACCGTTTTTTAAATAAAAAATATTGTAATATTTGATGGGTGGTTTCACCCCCTTGAAACTGGAATTTCGAAAAATCCCTTCTTATCGAACCTCTACACCCTAGAATCAACCTGTATGCCAAAATTGAGCTTCTTACGTTGAGTGGTTTGAGCAGGATCGTGATTAATCAGTATGTCAGTCACTTAAGAATTTTATATATTAGTATAGATAAATAATTGAAGATGGCAACACGTTAGTCATTGGTTAACGATTAAAATCTGCAATCAATGCACCTTGAATCTATACAGATAAAAAAAATCGCTACAAAGGTTAGTCTCCGTTTGATGATAAACATTTCAGAATAAGTATATAAGGACGGACACCTGTCGTTAAGTAGTGATTAAATTCGGTTGGTTACTTTTTGGTCGAAGTACTGTGCTCTAATAACGAAAATAAAAAATGGTTCAGATCAGTGGTTCTTACCAAGCAGTTTCTAACGAGAACTTCTTGGAGTACATAAAATCATTTGGTAAGTTGGAATAGTTGTTTTTAAAAATAATATTTTAAGTAATTTGGGTAATTTAATTTAGAATAAATATCATTTCGAAATACATTAGTAACCTTATACCCTTGTTTATATATCTTATACTGAAAGTAACATAATTATTTTCATCTTCTTGTTTCTACAGTATGTCCCCAGATTGTCTTTACAAGAGGAAACACTTTTTTATTATTGGCATTTTGAGATAAATGCATTCTTCATAAAAAATTTTGCTTGTTCTAAAATGGTTAATTCCGTTTGTACTTCTCCAAATTTCCATACCGTCTTAGAGAATTAAGAAAAAACATGAAAATATTGTTGAAGTCCTAAGAATAAAAAGGCGTTTCTATGCTAATATAATTGGTAATAACCATGTGGTAATAACCTTGTGGTATATTTAGTAGTAATAATTTGGTTATTATTAATTTTGTTTAATGTCAAACAAAAAAAAATATGGCGTTAATTCAAATTCTATCCACAACAATCTATCAAAGAATGAAAACGAAATTATATTACCACGCGTTTTGATAACAATATTTTCATGTTTTTTTCTAATTTTCATGAAAATTTGGAAAAGTATAAACGGGATCAACCATTTTAGAACAAGAAAATTTTTTTGTGAAGAATGTATTTTTCTCAAAATGTCAATAATAAAAAAGTTTTCCCTTTTGTGAAGACAATCCGGGGACATACTGTATAGTTACTACTGATTTATTATCGTTTTTTAACTGTTAAAATAATTTGTGAATACCCTTCAATATCCATTTGGTATATTTCCCTCTATAATTCCTTGTGGCGACATGCAGCGTTGTCTCCTTTTGCGCCTAGTTTTTTATGCACTAAGCTTTCTGTTAATTCTATTGCCAAAATTTTGGCAGTTGTCGCCATTTTTAGTCGATAATTAATCAAAATAGTAGATTATTCTTATTAAAATTATGTAAATTATAATATCTACTAATATTATTATTAATATTAATAAAAATACATTATCCTTAAGTACACTCTTCAGATTTACTTAGTACCTAATCAAAATAGTAGATTATTCTTTAGCGACTTAGAGACCTGTATGTTACCAATATTTGCAGCTATATAAAAGACAACTTTTATAAAAATGCAATAAAATATTGCAAACGTTTTTAGCTGTTGCTGACGAAATTGCTGAAAAAATTGCCAACTCGAAAACTCCAGTTGTCATTGAGGAGGAAGGTGATGATAAAATAACAATAACGTATGGTGGCCAACCTACAACTTACGTCTATGGACAAGCAGTAGATGTAACTCTTCCAACTGGTAGCACTGTCAAAGTAAGCGAAGAATACTAATTTCATAATTTAAATATTTGCTTTTTGTTTTTAAAAGTTAATAGTTTAGTTATAAAACCCAAAACTCAAATAGGCGTTGAAAAATTATGGTAACAGCATACATTATAATTTGTAATAATTTGTATAGGGGAAAACTATACAGGGTGAGTCTTAAATAGATGCAAATATTTTGAGGACTTGTAGATCTCGATAAAAGAAACTCCTTTCAATAAATCCAAAATAACTGAATTATTTTATTTTGAAAATTTAGAAAAAAAATGTTTCTTGCTTAAATGTTGTGAACCACTGGATCTTTTCTGTTTTTTTTTGGGTAAATTTAATCTAATACCTGTTTTGCCATATTATCAACTAAAAACTAAAAAAATTCCAAAAATTTTTTCAAAAAATTCAAGTTTCAATTTTTTTTCGCTAAAAACCTCACAGGCTTTCTGGGGTCGGGGGTGAAAATATACTACCCCTAAACATATTTGCACTTATTTAAGACTCACCCTCTATACAGGGGAAAGTCGATTATACCATACTGGCTCCTGAATGTGCTATTTTTAGTACATGTGTCCCAAGATTCTGTAGGTATAGAACCACTACATATTTTTGAGATTAAAATAAGTTTATTGGACACAATTTACCTCTATACTGGGTGACAATTTGAAAACGGACAGTATTTAATATTGCCTCTACCGATGATAGTATGAAAATTTGGCGAAACATGTCAATTTACATATCAAGGGGGACAATTTTTGAGGCATTTGTTGTCGTGTTACTTTCAACCCCTTGACCCCCAGGGCACCTACCCCTAAAATTTTAAATAGCAACCCCTATTTCTTTTACCATTTTTGTCTTTCTTTTCAAACAAGCTGATGAACTAGATAGGCAAGGATTATCAGTATGGATTATCAAATGTATGGCCCGCAGTGCAGTAAAACTCTGGATCAGGGAGAAGCAAAATGTCCACTGAAGAACCAGACAGAGGTACCGGCATATCAAGGTCTTTATCCAAGGACCTAGCTCTAAAATCAGAAAGGAACTGCTAATGCTTAGCAGGAATAAAGTACGGATTAGAACAGATCTCTTGACAGGACATATGGCAGTCATGTGTTACCTGAGGAAGCTCGACATGTATCAAGAAAGTCTTTGCTGCAGACTTTGTACTAAAGATAAATATATATGTCACTGCGAGGCTCTGGATCGCAAACGACACTTTTAATTTGGGAAAGCAAGACTAGAACCGGAGAAACTATGCTCCCATCTTATCAAGGACTTGCATAAGTTGGAGCGGGGTACAGGGATAGAAGAATGGGTGCAGACATAGAAAGGGGTTTCCTGCAGAGGATGGCTCCTTATTACCGAAAAAAAAGGGCAAAGGATACACCTTTGTATAGAAGTAAATTGTGTGCAATTAACTAATTTTGATTCAAAAATCCGTAGTTGTTCTATGTCCACGCAATATTGGAACTCACGTATATTTTGTAGGTTGTGTGGAAAAAAATTGCTTTCTTAAAAACTATGCGATATGAAGGTTTTTTACAAGAGACAAAATGTCTAAGTAGTAAACACAAGAAGGACCCTTTTAAGAAAAAAAAATCGTCGTAGGTAGAGTTGGGAAATATTTCTACGAAAATTTATGTAGAGGTAGTGGTGGCTTCTATCCTTTTCCTTGTTTTTTGACGTCAAATATTAATGCGCTTAGCAAAACATAGGAGCACCCCAAATCTTATACAAAATATGTTATTATACAAGTGCTATAACATACTGATCTTTCTTGCAGGCTATTGCTACCCGCAATGGAAACACCATTACATTCAATAGTACTTCCATTAAAAACGCTGACGTAAAGGAAACTAAAACTTTCGAGTTTAGTGATTCTGGATTAACTTCGGTAAGATATAGGAATAGCTAAATTATATACAAGATGTAGATACTAATTTTATAATTTACTGCAGACATCAGTTAACCACAAAGGACTCAAAGCTGCTGTGCACTATAAGAGACTGTGATATAATTAGGTACATTATATAATTTTTGTATTAATTTTGATTTAAAAAATAAATAGTAAAGTTATTTCTAATTTTATGATTTTTATTTTATTTTATTTTTTTAATATCATAATTATAAAAAATAGCGTAATAAGTTAAATATGGTAATGAATGAAACATTACAATGAAACTTTTTGTAGTGAATTCTTGAATCAGAAACATGAAGAAATTTCGACACTACATTATAGAAATAAAAGATTTTGCATACTAACATATTTTTTTTATTTTGCTTGAAAATTCAAAAAAAACATAAATATTTTGATATTTTCAGAAGCTCAAACTACTACTAAACTTGTATTATAATTTATTATTCAAGATAACAAAACTTTTTAGATTAGTTCAATTACGGTAGCGAGCATAGCTTTATGCACCGGTTTTGCTTGTAGGAACATAACTGCAACTACTTGGGCTATAACGTTTTTTTAAGGAACATAAATAATTATAATTTTAGAAGATGCTCATAAAAAATGTAAGACTAGTTGATTAAAAAAGTATACCATTAATATTGATCAAATTAAACATTTGAAATTGTCACAACACTATGCCCACTTCGAGTTTTTCACTTAATGTTTACGACCCGAAGCAGCGTTACATCACACATACACAAGTTCGTACTGGAGAAATTTATAGGAATGCTAGCGTGTACCAGCGACTTCGTTCGCGTCGAATTAATAATTTGTAATGGTGATGATAAAGCAATGCAAGGATTTCCATTAACATACAAACTGGATAAAATTTTCTCACATTTATGTCAGCATGAGAAAAAACAATATGGCGATATTATTATATAACTTGGTAATATTTGAGGAGTTCATCTCGTTGGAATTTAACTTTCGAAAAATCCGTTTGCCAAAAATAAGCTTTTTACGTCAAGCAGTTTAAGCAGAATCGTGGTTAAGAAATTACCCAACTTTTTGGAACACCCTGTATGATTTTTTAAAAAATTTCAAAATATGTAAAAAAACCAAATAAATTATGCTTGTCCAAGCGTTTTCCCTAAAGACTAACCGTTTTTTAAATAACAAATATTCGGGAAACCTCTCCTTATCGAACCTCTACACCCCACAGTCAATCCGTTTGCCAAAAATCAGCTTTAAACGTCAAGCAGTTTAAGCAGAATCGTGATTACTCAAGGGTCATATTTTATGAAACACCCTGTATAAATTTATAAAAAATCTTAAAATATGTAAAACAACAAAATAAAATATACGTGTTTAAGAGTTTTTCCGAAAAACTCACCGATTTTTAAATAAAAAATATTTTAATATTTGAGGGATAGTTTCACCCCCTTAGAATTCGAGTTTCGAAAAATCCCTTCTTATCGAACCTCTACACCCTAAAGTCAATCTGTTTCCAAAAATCAGCTTTTTACGTCAAGCACTTTAAGCAGGATCGTGATTAATCAATGACCAGATTTTTCGAAACACCCTGTATACATTTCTCAAAAATCTTAAAATATGTAAAAAAACAAAATAAAATATACGTGTTTAACCGTTTTTTCGGAAACTTGACCGTTTTTTAAATAAAAAATATTTGAGGGGTGGTTTCACCCTGTTGGAACTGGAATTTGGAAAAATCCCTTCTTATCGAACCCCTACACCCTAGAATCAACCTGTATGCCAAAATTGAACTTCTTACGTTGAGTGGTTTGAGCAGGATCGTGATTATCGTGAGTATATCAGTCACTTAAGGATTTTATATATTAGTATAGATACTTTGAAAAAAAAAGCAGGAAAAACTTTGAACCGTGGCAACCCCTATTTGCGGCAAGTTTTTGATAGGCACCCTGTGAAAAATGTATTCTCCTATTCATAAATATACGTAAAAATTAGGTTTTTATTAAAAATACGATGAGCGTAATAATCACGCAGCTGGATCTTACGCCGGTCCAGACCAAGCAGACAAAATAGTGACAAGACACAAACATTCATGTTTTACGACAAAGTTGTGACAAATCCAATACATTTCTGCAACATTTTTGTCTCATTTTTGTTTTGTTTCGTCTCGAGTCGGTAAAGATCAAAGTGTCTATATTTTGTTCGTATATTTTGCGACAAGTTGTCGGCGCAGTGTGGACGGCGTGTGCTGCCAACAGTAGGAGACCGGTGAAATCACACATGGTTAATAAAACTCATGCGCAATAACTAAACTTTTGACTTTTTTTGCACTTTTGTCATTGCGATGTGGACAATTTGTCTCAAGTTTGTCTTATCAGAAGTCTCCATTTTTTGTGACAGGTTTGTCATGTTTTTGTCTCAAAATCGTGTTTATTTTTTGTCACCTTGGTTTGGACCCGGCATTATACTATAATTACTATAACATAGCCATTATTTCAATACGATCAAAATGAACGGTAACTGGGACGGCGTGAAATAAAGTAAGTGGATAGTATTGATTTCTGCCGTACCGAGCGTTGCTGTCGGAATTTTAAAACGTCGGTTGAAATGTACCAAGCCTATACGCCAGTAATACCAACAGTATTGTAGTTTATGGTATTACTATAGCTACCTATAAGGAAATTAAAAATACTAAACTGAGTTTAAAATTTTATTTTTATTACACAATATATTATTAGGTACACAAAAATTTACAATTAACTTGAAATGTTTGACAATATTGTAATTGTGACTAAAGTTCGTTTTCTTCTTTCATTATTTTATTTCTAATAACATGGAAGATTTATTTTTTAATTATTATATTCAATATATGGATTCCAATAGTATCATGCAACATTATCTAATCTTATAATAAGTAGCAAAAATTATATCCAATTTATTTTTGAAAATATTCGAGATATACAAGAGGGCTTTCTTTTTATTGTTATAACAAAAAAAAAACTATTTTTATTTTGCTTTACAAATTTGATAAGCATACAATATTTTTATCTATATAATGCTAGAATATTTTGAGTTTTGAATATAGATACAAATACCTATAGTTTTTTTATACAGAATTGCTTATTTGCATATTATAAATTAGTAAATTGTTTTAATAGTAAGCATACAGTAATTAAAAATGTATTTTAATACGTTATTGTTATAAGTTTTAATTTTTTGTCTTCTTTTCTTAATATAGCATGATATTGCTACGACACGTTTAAAAGTTTGATATGTTGACAACACCAAACACTAAAATCTATTATCAGTGTTTTATTCAAAATGGCAACATTGTAATAATTATGAGAATTTAAAAACGTTTACCTTTCATATATAAAATTCCTTTATGTTTGTTACCATGGGCCACCACTTTGTGAAAATGAACAGATTCTATAACTTAAATAATTTCTGTGTATATAAGGTAAATCTTAGCTAAAATGAAGTTCTAGACGAAAAATGAAGACAGAAAACCTAGTTGCGCATCCCAATTTGTAAAGTTTTCTATGAAAAACTTACGTATTAGATTAAAAAAAATATGTTTAACATTTATACAGGGTATCTCAAAAAACATGTGTCACCTCTCGTAGGAAGATTCCTCACGTAAAAATAAGATTTATTTTTTATATCAACATGGGTCCGATTCTGCTTTGTTTCATAGCTACAGGACGTTAAAGTCTTCAGAGATTTGAATGAAATGTGGAGGGTAAAAGTTGCTATAAGTGCTACATATTTTAAAGCTAAAAAAGTGTCGACAGGTTCACCAGGGACGTGCATATGGGTTTTCATTGGAATATTTTTCTAAAAAAAATGCGCTTCTGACTTTTTTCCTCTTACCAGCAAAACTGTGTAGGCAATTTAATGCCGATTAAAAGCTGTATCTTAATATTATGTCCTCCTCGATGAGATAAACGCAGTGTTACCTACAGCAAATTTCCCCAAAAAATAATGGTAGGTATTTAAGATAATTACAAAGCCTATTTTTTTAAAGTTATAACATCCAGTAACTTTAGAATTATGCATTTCGGCACGCATATTTGTAGGAACTTTTTTTATATTTTTTGATGAGGAATCAATAAATACTTATTTAACATTTTGGCAAGTTAATAACATTAAAATTATTTAAAAATTGCTATTGAATTGCATTAAGGCAAAGTAATTAAATTGCGTTTATTTCATCAAGGAGACTGAAATTGACAAAATATCAAGAGACAACTTTTAATCAGCCTTTAACGGTCCACACAATTTTGCTAACAGAAAAAAATCAGTGAGGCTTATATATATATTTTTTTAGAAAAATATTCTAGTGATAACGCACATTCACGTCCATGGTGAATATGTCGACATTTTTTTAGCATTAAAATATGTCGAACTTATAGTTACTTTTAACCTCAAAATTTCATTCGAATCGCTAAAAACACTTTATTGAAAATTATAATAAATCGAAAAATTATGAAGAATTTAACTCCCTGTCGCTACGAAACAAAGCAGAATAAGATCGATGTTAATACGAAAAAATAAATCTTATTTTTACGAGTCTCCCCACGAGAGATGGCACAAGTTTTTTGAAACACCCCGTATTTTTTAGTAAATTCGTATAATCGTTAACTCATTTTTATTTTTTTACGAATCTTGTTCCGTCATATATGGTTTTTCGCAGAAAACGTCCGAAATTCATCTGAATAAACTTAGACATATACATTTAAATTTTAGTTTTGAGCAACAAGTAACTGTATTATCAATTTTTATTTTTATTCTTATATGCAGAGGTTTTTGCCGACACTGTATGTTTTAGAGTGTTCTAAGCATTTTTGTTTTTTTTTATACGATCCTTTGGATTTGATAGACTCAAAACTATTATTTTCTTGGCGTACCTGCATAAGTTATGTTTTGAACATGACACAAAAATAAAATAATGTATTAATTTTAATATACAGGGTGTCCCAAATTTGGGCCTTATTAATGGGATCGAGGAAACTAGAAGAGATACGAGATTGGTTAAATGTTACTTCCAAAGACTGTTAGGTACTTCCAAAGATTTTTAGAAAAAAGGCGATTATTTCCGATTTTATTTTTCTTTTTTGTGATTCTATTTGAAAAAAATTTTACATTTTCATTGTCACTTTTTTGTTCTATAAGATGGCACTATCAGATTTTCAACTCGACGTTTCGTTTTACAACAGCCATCATCAACTTTCATTTTTTAAATACGGTCGTTGATTGTTGTGAAGTTTTTATTACGGATTTAAGAGCTTCTAATGTCCCAAAATCAATGATATAACGATTTCATGCTAAGATCTTACCAAAAATCTGTATCTATTTTAAAATATGCATTCTTATGGAAAATGACATTAATATACACTTTTCGAACGAGTGCGATACATCATTGGTTTTGGGATCATAGAAGCTCTTAAAATCGGTAATAAAAAATCGAGGAGTCCGTATTTAAAAAAACAAAGTTGATGTTGGCAGTTCAAAGACAAATCGTCCATATGAAAATCTGATAACACCATCTTGTAGAACAATAAAGTAACCATGAAAATATGTAACTTATTTTGTTATATCTATTCAAAATAGAGCCATAACTAAATAAAAATTAAATCGCAAATATTCGATTTTTTTCCCCAAAAATTTTCGATTTCGAATTTTTGATTTTTTAAGGTGGCATTTTAATAAGCATCTAATTGCGCAACTTTGCCTCCCTTTAACCGGCCGAAATACCAATGCTTTGTAAAAAGGTTTGAATTTGGAACACCCTGTTATAGATATATCTGGACTTATTCTCTGACCGAATGTTGCCATTATGAATACTCTCCATCGGTATATTTAATAACATTTAGATTAATTATAGCCTCTAGGAACTAGATTTAAAGTTACACAAATGTATACAATTTACGCAAATTGTAACAGATTATGGAATAACTTGTTAGCAAATTATTTGTAATACTGTACAGTTTCGATATTCATACATTTACAATCACTCAAAAATTAAAAATACAATAAATTAAATTATCTTTCTGAATATATTGCTTAGAAACAAATCCCTTTTATTGATCTTTATTTTTATTGCATTTATACAAAATTATAATAAACAGTCGATATACTTGAAACATAATTTCAGTGATAAGTAGTTTTTTTAACAACTTTTATTGTTTAATAGTTATATGTATGGCACATTCACTCACAAAATCATTCTTTTTCATATATAAGTAACCATTCAAAGAAAAAAAAATAAAATAAATAAATAAATCAAATCACTATTCAGCGCCATTATAAAATATATTTACAAAATATAAAAATTACAATTGTAACTATTTAGCATGTGTTATATAGAGTTATATATATATTTAGATAGATAAATGCATTTGGTACAGTGCATTTCGTGGTAAGTAACAGGGGGCCTCAAATGTTAAAAATTAGTTTTTCAATACTGAATACAAAATATAAAGCTGACTGAACTTACACAAAAGCATTGCAAAGGAAAGCATAGGTAGTGGAAAAGTTACAAATATACATAATTATACAGGGTGGTCCAAACTGTATTACGAAAATCTTTGGCAGCATATTCTGCATATTAAAATAAGTCAAAAAGTTCCTATAAATTATGTTCTAAAATGGCTTAGTTTCGGAGATACTAATAGGCTGTAGAAGTTTCATTTTTATTTCGATTTTTTCGTAAAGTAACGTCAATATTTGGGTGAAAATTGGTGTCTGGGAGTTTTTTGACATGAGAAATTTGATTTTGATGTCAATATGACTCCTACTTGTAGAAGGCGCCACCTACATATCTTTAACTGGTTTAAAAAGTAATAACTTTTCGTCTGCACCTGTATAAAACTATTGAGTAAAAGAATATACATTTACGACGTTTTTTACGTAGAAAAAGTCTCTTGGTAAAAATCGTTACGAGTAATGGTTCTCGAGATATTTGGAATCGAAATTATCAATACCTGTCATCATTGACATAAATTAAACATGTTGACTAAATAGTTATTAGACTGAAATCAAAAGTTCAACAGAAATTGTTTTATCATTATTTTTTCGCAGAAAAATTTATGCTTAGTTTAAAAAAATAAAAATTTCTCAAATTTATTTTTTCAGTCAAATAACTATCTACTCAACGTGTTTATTTTTTATCAAGACATGACATTGACTATTTCCATTCTAAATAACTTAGGAACGGTTGCCCGTAGCGATATTTACTAAAAGACATTTTTTATATAAAAAGTCACGAAGATGTATATTTTTTCACTCAGTAGTTTTATACAGGTACGGACAAAAAGTTATTACTCTTCAAAATAACACATGTAGGTGGCACCCCCTACAAATCGGAGTCATTTTGACATCAAAATAAAATTTTTCATGTCAAAAAACTTCCAAACACCAATTTTCATTCAAATATTAACGTTACTTCAGAAATTATTTGGGAAAAATCAAAATAAAAATGCAACTTCTACACCCTGTATCTCCGAAACCAAGCATTTTTGGACATACATTTATACGAACTTTTTTTACTTATTTTTATCTGCAGAATATGCTGCCGAAGTTTCCTAAATACAGTTCGGACCACCCTGTATATTGTAAAGTAAATTATTTTACATACATATTTATGATATATACTTACACGTTATAAATTATAATTTTAAAAAGTATTTAAACATATTTATGGGAGTGCCTGCAAAGTAGGTAATTCATATATTTTTACCCATTTTGTCATTTCATGTACCCGTATGATTGAAAAATTTTATGATCAAGTAAGTTTTTACAATGACAGATAAAATAATTTTTGTTTAATTTCTCACGAGAGTTGTTTATCTGTCATCATTCAAAACACACCAGACCATAAACTTTCTGATCATGTTGTATTAATTCTTGATCCAAAATAGTTAAAACAATAACCGTATAAAATAAATCTACAAATATAAAATATCAATTTCTTTTAATATTTATTTCTAAATCATTTTCTACAGCCTAAAGATTTTTTACGTAATACACATATATTAATTCAGTAGCGATATTCAGAGAAAACTAAAGGAATAAACCTGTCAAAGGTGTAGTACACTTACTTAAAAGAATACTTTTTTCAGCATTATAATTTGTAAGTTAGTTGGCTAAATCATACCAAGGCAAGCAACGCTTTTGTGTAACTTCAATCAGCAGAACTAAATATAAATTAAATCACAGTAAAACCGTTGGCGGATGACTTCCTCTTGCGCTCCTCGCTTATGCTAACTTATTTGCATTTTCGAGCTCTGCGCCTGAACCTGCGCATCCTCTGATCCCATTCGTCGCGCCACTCGATAGCGATCGACCTCTGAGTCACTCCTAGTTTCCCTGTCACTATGCCACCGGGAATATCGTCCTTTTCTCTGCCCAGGAACAAATAGGCCCTGAAACAAAGATATACTGTTAAAAGAAAGTCGAAACTCAAAAAAAAAACGGAGGCGACAAATCTCGATATGAAGCGATAGAAACTTAAAAGTTCATCATTATTATGTGACCTCGTTGGCCATTTTATGTGAACAATCACAGTTTTAGATTATTTTATTAAATAACATTGAGTGTTATAGGCTATTTTATTATAAAAGGACAATCCGTAAGAATATAATACATTGTAATGTAACATAGTTTTGTTTTGTTATTTTGGTACGTGTTGTAGAATAATGTTTTGAGTAATAAAATTCGTATTGGGCTATCTAAGCGTTCAAGGAGCAGAACGACAGTAGTTCTGTAGAGATACGCTAAGAACATGCAAACTAAAACATCCAAACTCCAAACCAGAGAACTCTTAAAAATTGGGAGAAATGGAGTTGTTCTTTATAGAAATACAGATTTTTGACATCAGTCTAAAAGAAGGAAACTTCCCACACTGGACAGTATCTTTACTATAATTCGAACCACGCAACATCGGTAAATCAGAAACCAATACATGGCAAAAGGTATCTGCAAATCTGAATAATCTTTTTTACAGAAAACCACGAATGTAAGAAATAAGTTGCGGAAGATTGGATATCATACACATGAGACTAAAGTATAATATTAAAATAATTTTGACGGTTATAGAATGCAGAATTAGTGGGAGAGGGGTTAATCACTGCGACCTACATATCTATTGCGTCCCCCTTTCTTGAGTTATAACTCATCATACATTCCCGGGGCTTTGACAAAAGCCAGTATCTGGGATGGTTTTATAGAGGGTAATTCCAATCTCTAATATCAGTTTTACCAAAATTTATAGCACGAATGGTTGTCGTCTCGACGCACTCAGTGATGTGGTGTTCTGGTGTTTCATTGAGGATACTCATTGAGAAGACATTGCCCTGTTAAAAACCCTGTGACAATCCGAAGATTGTTTTCTTAAATCAAGGAAAGTCTTTGATTTTTCTTGGTTGTAAATCCTTAGAAACTTCTTCGAGTGTCTCAGACCGTTACAGGATTCCCATTCCAGGTTACGGATGGAGTAATGCTTTTAGTTGGTTTCTGCTTGGAAAACCGAACGGTTCTGGTCCAGTTAGTAGAGTCATGTTCGCTCCTTTTCTAGCTATATCATTTGCTTTCTCCTATCCCTTGGTGAGGTGGCACCTACAGTAGGAGGATTTTGTTTCCTTTGCCTAATTTATTTAGTTTCTTTATGCATTCTTTGACCAACTTCGTATTGATTGATACTGAGTTATCGCTTTTAACGCTGCTTGACTATCAGATAAAACAGCTATTTCTTGTTTCAGATAGTTCCTATCTAAGATAAGTTGTGCGCATCTTTCCATAGCGTAGATTGCTGCCTGTAGGATGCTAGGGTAGGTGTGCATTGATTCTTAGTATTTTGACGGTTTTAACAACATTGAGGGGTGTTTTCAGCAAAACAAACATTGAAAAACACAGGCCAGTTACAAAATCCCATGTGAGGTTGAAGCAAGTTATATTGATGAAACCCTTACCAATAAGAGTCAAATAACATCAAAAAAGCATATCAACAATAGACACCACCAAATCTCGTATTGCAGACCACGTAGAGATCAATCAGTACGGGATACAGTACTAACTGTATCTCGTAAAAAACACTGGTGAAAAGCCGAAATAATTAATAGGGGGAAGTACAGGTTTAGGTGGAAATTTAAAGAGGCTCCTATAGGCAGAACAATATAAAAAGTTTAATCTGCTCAGTAAAAACATCAAGAACACGTGGAAACCTCTCACCAGCGGCCAGCGGCCTAAGGTATTCCGTCATGCGCGATTTTCTGCCATGTCTAGTGATCCCGACAGAATTTAATAGCGAATATCATTGGTAAATTCAGTTTTGTTCCCGAGCGGAACTACAATTACGTTTAAAAATTGCACTAGTGGCGCACCAGCGGTGCACTGATTTATCTGTAGCATTGGTATTGTAATGGTAAATTCGTTGGTAATGGTACTCGACCAGAAGATAAAAGCTGACGTATACTCTGGTGCTCGGAAATATAAAGAATTTTCAGCTACGTTGAAACACCGATTCCCGATAAATCCTGAAAGTTAAGCGACGTGCGACCATGCAAGTGGATGAACGGGTGACCGTCTGGAAACTCTGTTGATCTGTTTTTGATTTATATTTAATCGATTTAGTCACTCGCCAAGTCGGTAAACCATTGACAGTAATATGGCCGAGGACCGCGGTTCGGATTCCGCTTAAACAAAATAGGCCCCATCCAGAACTTAAAATACTTTTAACTTTACTTTATCGATATTTTTCAAAAACCGATCCTTGTTTACTGACCTAGTTAAAATGGTTCTACAGCACAATACCGCCTAAATAACCAAAAATCATATTCGATATTGAATAAGAAAAAGATCATACCTAAAGAAAATATCTATAAATACAGTATCTGATAACGAAACGATCGAGAAGAGATGATTAAAGCTTATTCTCCAATTTCTTGCGACTTTCGTTCAATTATTTCTTCGTCTTAGTTGAAATATTACTATTCTTATTGCACTCGATTTGCATATCCAATCTGTACACTTTTATCAGCTTACCGTTCGAAGTGTTAATAAATGTGTTATCTTGCTTCGCCGAGAAGATTAATGGTGTTTACGGCTCAGACTTGCAGATTCGCGAGTTGCAGAAATAAATCTTAGTTTTATTAGAATTTAGGAAACGGATGAAACTGAATAATTTCGACGAATATCGTTCCATTAATCAAACTGGCAAAAAATTGAAAGAAGAGATTAGAAAGGTTTATTGGATTTTAGAATAAACGAACACTTGCTACATTCCAATATGCATTACATTTTGTTAAATTAAAAAGGATCGTGAGATCAAAAAATTTCTTAGAAAGCCGGTTGGGATGATTGCAGCTCATAAAAATACTGATATAATTACTCATACGAATTTTCAGAAAACTGCACGCCGTACAACGCTCAATGGAACGAAATATGTTGGGAATAATCAAAAAAGTCCGTAAAAGAATTGAGTGGATATCACAAAAGACCCAGGTAATAGATGTCATCCACAGAATTAAATCCCTCAAGTGACATTGGGCAGGACACCTAGCAAGAAGAACGGACAACAGATGGATCACAAAAATTACATGATACCCACGAGGAATTAAGAGACCTGGAAGAAGACCAAGATGGGTCTAAGACCTAGAAGAAGACCACTGAGATGGGACTATGATATTAGCAAATTAACAGGGATAACTTGGGCCCGCATAGCCAACAATAATAGACAACAAAGCAAATGGGCCCAACTACTAAGAGAGTATCTAAATATGTAAGGGAGGCTACACCATAATTGGAAGTGGTTAAATAAGCTGAAAATGATGATAATGCTGATAAAAAAATTATCTGTCAAAATTCAAAGTTCCCTTGATCGTATCTAATGCTTTAAGATCATACGGTATTTTGATTTTGTTATTTATATATAAAGGGGTGCAAACATCGCAAAAAAAAACATCGATGTGTCCATACAAAGTAAATTATTTTAAGTTAACGTCTCCTTTTTGCTGTAAGGCTATTCTGGACGGAGCCTACTTGGTTTACGCGGAATCTGAACCGCGGTCCTCGCCAATAGCTTTCAGACTTGGCGAGTGTCTAAATTGACATTTACTCACGATATATCCGATCTCATTCGACCTCGAACCTGGAACCGGCAGCATATTCGTATCAAGCGTCTGGTATCGCATGTTCAACTTTCCCGAGTACCGCCGAATGCATCCACGTATCCTACGAGAAGGCAGCGTTCATATTTTTAGGATGGTATCCAGCGACCCAGCGTTCGATATCACAGTATTGCAACAGTATTTGTGTATCGTACTATGAAGAATTTGTATTTACCGCCAGATTTTCCCTACATTAAAACCAATGGCATAGTGAGACTCAAAATTAAGTTAAAATCCGAAGTTGATGTAAGTTTTTTGCCATACGTATAGACGTACTTACTTACTTAACCATTTAATCTTATGCTGTACACAAAACTAAATTGAGGTTAAGTGCTAAAATACTGTGGGGGCTCTAGCCGTTGAACTAAAACTCTCATTTGTTTTTACACCAATTTTATTTGGTTTATTTTTCAGAAAATTTAACTAGGTTTTTTTAAATTTAACTAATACTTAAAATAATAACTCGAAGTAGTTTTGCGTGATTAGCGGGAAATTATTGACACCACAGCTTCGTGTCTCTGTGGTCTCTGTCGTAGGTGCTGTATTTTTGCTCGGTTGCTGACAATTTTCGAGAGAAAAATGATAAAGGTTGGAATTGACCTTCAGAAGTTTGCTGCTGCAGGACACCACCAATAGCGCTGTCGGAGGCGTCCACTGCGATGCTTAATTCCAATGCTGGGTTTGGGTAATTAAGTTCTGCAGCTGTAGCAAGGCTTTCCTTGGCGTTTTGGAAGGAGTCTTCTAAGGCTGTTGTCCATTGAATAGCTTCTTTACCTGATTTTGTACCGACTAGGAGATTCGTCAGTGGTAGCGGTCATGTGGTAGCAGCATCTTTTATCCAGCGTCGGAAGAAGTTTAACATCCCGAGGAATCGACGAAGTTCTTTGGCATTCTTTGGAGGTGGAATTTCCCTGATGACGTTGACTCTTTCAAGTGGTTTATTCCGTTGCTTGTTACAAGAACGCCTAGAAATTTTACGATTTTGACCCCAAAAGTACATTTGGATGGGTTTATTACTATGCCATTTTCACATAGTAACTTAAAAACGGCTTCTAGGTGCTCTAGGTGCTCTTCTTCGTTGGAGGATGCCACCAAAACATCATCAACGTAGACGTAGGCAAAAGAACAGTTGCGGAAAATTTGGTCCAAGTATCTTTGTAGTGTTTGAGCGGCATTCTTGAGTCCGAATGGCATTTTCAGGAACTCGAATAGCCCAAAAGGTGTTGTTACAGCGGTTTTCTGGATATCATTTTGGTCCA